TGTACGAATAGGAAAGAAGAAATTCGTCGTGAACGTTCACGAGAGCATCAGCTGGCGTTCGAAACGGGGGAGCGTGGAATCGTAAGATTATCTGACTAAATGAGCGGCTGGTTGGATGGGAGTTGGCTTATCAGCGCGTGTACGGAACGAGCAACCGATGACTAGCCGCGCGTGGACTAGTCGGCTGACGCTCCTCGACTGCCGCCGATCGTAGATGAAAGGCCTTCGGAATGCAAACACAGCGGGTGATAAACAGTCGATCGGTGATCATCGCGGTGCTTAGACGTACGTAAACGTGCGTGTAATCTGCGTGACGTGCGCGAGAGTGGTCGCGAGTACGGAAACACCGCCTGTCTGTCTACCAGGCTGTGCAACGCTCTATCTACTTGTCCGGATCTCGTCTCCAACTTCAACTCGGCCATGAAGCCAGCCGACTGACCCAACTACTCAACCCTAAACTCGTCGCTTCTATCTCGTGCCTGACATCGCGGAGATTAGCCGATTAGCGGAGAAACGGAAACCGAGGATATAAACTTAATGGACGCTTTCAAGTACGATCCGTAGGAAATCTTCCGCTGCTTTATCCTCGTCTTTTTCCCCGTCTGTCGTTGCGGTTAGTCGTCGTGTTCTCGAGGACGAACAGTGCTGTTCCAACGTGTACAGTGCAGCGAGGAGGAAAAATCGGAAAGAAAGTCGCGTAAGCCTGACGTTTATCTCGAACGCGACGTACGACCCTGGCTTATTTCCTATCTTTTTCACGAAATTTATCGCCGACATTCGCGACGCAACGAACACCGCCTTATCATTACGTTACGATTTTTCTCTCTTCGGAGAGTGTCGCTCTTTTTCTCCGCTGCTGATAAAGGAAAGGCGGTACGGAATGATCTGAACGATGCACTTTAATCTTCGTAGTTATCGGACGTAATAGACGGAAACCCTTATCGACGTTTGCTCAAGGCCGATTTTAGGTGCATCGTTTATCTTCGTACGTTCCCCTTCGAATGGAGCGAACAAAGCGGAGAATTCATGCCGATTACACAGTTGTTCGAATGAAATTATGAAACTCTAGAAATAGTCGTTTATCTTTTATCAACTTTATTGTTGTCCATTCTGACCGTTTAATCTACGTCGCATCTGTATCAAATTTCCCCCGACTGTTACATACAGCTAAACAAATCGTCGTAAGTGGTTCCTGACAAATAAAGGAGGGTTTCGCGTATCATAAAGCGACGTGTGACTGAAACGGAGAAAAAAGGAAACAAAGAAAGAGCAGACGAGAATTAGCAAGCCCGAGAAGTGCATCGTGAATCATCGATGAGTCAATGCTGGCAATTTGGCAATCGAATCGAAAACTCCACGAAATGCGCATCTCTCGTATTACCTCCCGCGGTTATATCTCTTATTTCTGTCCAGAGTTTCCACGTTTAAAACGGTAACCCCACCTACGAGTATCGTCACCATACTCTTGAAAGCGATTTGCGTAACGCGGTGCGTTGCGAAATTTTCCTCGCGGCTCGCCAACGCGAGAATAAATTTCAATGTTAACGCGCTCCGTCGTTTTTCCGGGGCCGTATCACCGTCACGATCTAACACGGCCGATTATGCACGGCTGTATTATTCATTCGAGTGTTAAACCTACAAACTCTCGCCACGTTTGTATCCTTCGTTTTCTCGATCGCCGCCTAGAGATCGATCGAAATTCGGAGGATCGCTTGCTAGCCTCCTCGCTATCCGACTCGATCCACGTGGCAGGCTGCTCCGTAACGAGCAGTTTCAATTATGCACACCGGTGTCCGCACGAGCGGCGCAACTTTGTTCGTTCCTCGAATTACAAAAAGTGCTCTGTCACAAGGACCTTTTCATTTGACGTTGTTGTCGCTTGTTAATGGACTCATTCACCGACCTCTCTCTTTCGCTCGAATTTCGTAGGAGCTGCGCCCCTAATTCGGAAGTCACCTCCGGAGAATCTCTCCGAGGAGGAATTTGCAGCTCGAGAGACACCGTGCCCGTCTCCGTTTCACCGCGTGCCACCTCCAAGCGGCCTTTTCAGCATCTGTATTGACAGAAACCTCCGGTGACCTCCAACAATTAAACAATTATCCCGTGCCTTCCCCTCGTTTATTATACCACTCTCCCTCGGTAGGCAGACGACGCGAGAGGGCCGTCTATTATGTAAAATCATGCACATATGTGGAACGCAGATAATCATAGCGCGGTAATTATCCACTTGACGGCTGGTAATCCTCTGTTGACCGTTCGACGTTTCTTGTGATCTTGACATTCCGGTAATCGGCCTCGATCAGATCGAGCCTCGTTTCTTCGAAAATCCCACAATCACGTACAATTATCTCACGATCGGAATTTCATAGACACACCGCTACGTCGCGTTCACAAGAGTGTATCGCAAAAAGTACACCTCGACTAGCTATCCCGTTCGAGAATGCTAAAGTGAATACGCAGAATAAAGACTGCACTTGTGTATACACAGTAGTCGTCTTCTTACGTTCACGGCATCTTTCTACCTACGCTTTTTAATAGCCTCTTCACCGTTACGTCCGCTACCTACCCAATAATTATTATTACAACCGTGTTTATTACGCAGATACTTTAAAGTACGCGATGTAACGAGAAGATGCGCCGTTCTTGTGCCCAACATCTATCGAGCAAACCGACCTAAACGCGAAGAATGAACTTTCGTCGTTACACGGTTACGCGCTGTTATTACTCCTCGTGAACGAGGTAGGCAGATCTGCGTTGTCGGCGGGATCGCGTCGCCGAAAGAGCCGCGCTTTTACGAACCTCAAGTACACCAGATGCATCTGCGCCGTACATACACAGACATCGAGCAAATCTGCTTTGGCATAATAATCGAGAGCCGTGCCTACTGTGACTGCTCGCGATTACGCCGTGTCGCGTGCCAGCCTTCCGCGACCTCCTCCAATTATTACCTACGTTAAGAATTCCGAGCAACGAGACGCGATAGTTTTTTTTGTCCGCCCCGTTAATGAGTTGCTCGTTAGCGGTGTCCCGTCGCCGGATGTCGCGCGTATTCACCTAGTTCCATTGTTTCGCGAAAATGACCGTTCAGCGTTCGCTGAATCACGAGAGAAACTGAAATCGATCGGTTGCACTCGGTGCAATTGAAAGAATATCAAAGGGAAATATGCAGCACCGCGAGCAAGTGTCCGCGGAAGGTGATCCGCCGCTGTGAGTGAACTGTTGCATCCGAACGATTTTAACGACGATAACAATAACGTGTCCGACGGAGAGTGTAGTCTAGTGGAAAATGGGAAAGCTTGAAAAAGCTTTATTACAGCTAATAGCTTTAGAATAGATATTACACTTCCCGCGGAGGATGTTTAATTATTATAAAATCGCGTGTGCGTCGCTGGATTATCGCGAGAGCGGATGGCAATCCCACGCGCGTTTCCCTCGTCAGCGTCTCGCTGAAACGAGAGGAGAATTCGGGGGAACATGATTTACACTTTACGTTACTACCGGTCACTTTCGCGGAGAATCGCGTGTACTTGAGCGCCGGCAGCGCAGCGGAGTCGCTGTCGCATCGGTAACGAGCGAGCAAGCAAGCAAGAGAGAATCTTTGCGAAATCGTGGCCGGCAATTGCGCCGGAACAAGGTAGCGAAGAAAAACAGAGGCAAAGGGAACGCTAATTAACATCTGACTAGTCTTTCGGACGAATTTACTATCCTAATGGAAATCTCTGTTGTACTCTGTAATCAGTTGGTGGTTTTCACGTGTTGGTACGATTTATTTTTTAGACCGTGGATGCAGCCGGGTATCGGAGGTGGAGGTGGCGCGGCCCACGCAGGTGGGACAGGTGACGACGAGGCTCCGAAAGATCCCGGTGTTCGGATCACTCATCAGTCTTACACCGAGAAAGACTACGAAGGTATCGAAATTTCTTCCTTCCTCCCATTGAACGGTTCGTCGACGGCCGGAACCCTCGGCTCGTGTTCTCACCTTCGCACACCTTCCCGTACGATTTAATCGAGCCTAAAGGTTGACTATTGGCGTGTAGGTCAGCCGGATACACGGATCTGGCTTCGGTGTTTGCTCACACAAGTCGCGTTCCAGGTGCTTCGAAAATCATTAGTTCCGTTCAACAGCGCGGCGATCCTCGCCGGACTCGACGTCACCTGTCCCGGCACGATCTTGAACCGTCGCGTCGCGTCCGCCGACGATCGATTCGGCTTACCGTTCTCCTTGTCCACGATAACGGAGATTATGGAATGGTTTAGAATAGCGAGAGTTGGACGGATCGAAGAAAACAGATCGGGATATATCCTTCCCCCGTTTGCCTGGGGCGCGCGAGGGGCATTTTTATCGTCGATAATCGTAGGAACTACCGCGATTCGAGAAGCACCGACGTCAGCTCTCTTTCATCTGCTTCCAGGTCACAGAGCGCACACGGTGTATGTGGGCGTGCATCTGCCAGGCGAGAGGAGACATCGTCGTCACCACAAGCACCATCATTCCCAACGTCAAACGTATTGTGCCGATAAGGAGAATGTGGAGAACGAGAGACCCAGTAAGTTCGTCACTTGCTTCTTCTCCCTTTTACTCAACCCCGTTGCAATATATCGTGGCATGGAAGAACCAGGGGTTCTGTCAAGATCGGCTCGCAAGGGCTACTTCCCTTGTTTTAACATTTCGGCAAATGATCGAACGCGCGCGCGAGGACCAGTCTAATCCCTTTTCGCATAAAGGATCTATAACCACCCGCGAATAGAAACGGGAGACGAATGTCGTGTCTCTTGTAGGTCAGGAGTTTTCGAGGCTAAAGTAGTCGGTGCTTCTCTGCACATCCAACTCCGTTAATCGGTCTCGTGCGGCTTCGAAAAGATCTACTCCAACCAGCCGGGAAGAAAGCCACTTCGCCACGAGTCGAGAGATACGAGGTAAATGAGAACTTTCGCCAACTATCTCTCGTTTCGCTCGATCGTCCGATCGTTAAACGGGGGCCATCGTCTCTGCCGCGTGCGAGGGATGAAACAAGTAGGAGCGCGTATGCGCAATGTCTCAGACAAAGGAGACTGTAACGTCGAAATAGCTGCTGCAGAACGCGCGTGTAAACGTTCCACGGTATGTTGCACTTTGCGGCGTTATTGAACGGTATGTGGCAACCAGCCAACCACTTGTCACGACTTCTCCGGCTGTTCACCCTACTTCTGGCACACCGGGTACAAGAGGGTGACCGATATCGAGTCCCGGCCTTTCCCCTCGTCAGGTCCCACCCTTTTGTCCCTTGGAAGTTTATCAACCGAGCTTGTGGATACGAGAACGAAGAAGGGTGATCGATCGACGTCGGTGGTCCACGAGTTTACCCAAACAGTTCTTTCGTTTGCAGCTGCAGAATCGATGCAGCGATTCACATTCTCTTCCCACCGCGCCGCGTCGCGTGCAATCGATAGTTTTAATTTCGTCGGAGAAAGGCTATTTACGTCGCGAGCTTTCGGTCGGATATTAAAGAACCACCGGCAGGTAATGTTTGGTTAATTCGTCGACGACGTTGGAAAGGATCGCGCGCGGTGCCGTTCAGTCACCGAGAAACTGCGAGATTATGGGGGAATAATCGAGCTAGAGTGTCGTTGACGTTTCAGGACAATTGCTGATGACTCGAAGGAGTCGACTATCTAGCATCTGTGATCCCGACGGCGAGATGATACGTAAGCCTGAACACGTACCAAAACTTGTGTGTATTCACGGACACTTTTTTCCCCACCAACAGAGACCATTCGTTTGCTCGAATGATTTGGACGGTTCGTCGAACGACGAGAGCCCCGCTTCCATACAATTACGTTCGAGGAATTTCGTCAAGGTTACTCGCCGCGGCCTGTACGACAATTCCACAAGGGAATAATTACGTTTGATTAATATTTATCGGATCAAATCGTTCCGTCGTTTATCATGGTTACATAAAGAGCATTGCAGTCGTTAGCGTGACAGGAATACGTCATTGTGGATTATCTGCGTGTCGTGTGCGTTTTCCACGAATCGAAAACGAGTCTCTCTCTACTCGGATTATTATTTCCCGCTGTTTTTATCGCACCGGTAATCGTTCTACGGAAACGGATAGCCACACGAATGGTCTCGACAAATCTTTTCCGATACACGAGACTCTTCTCACACGATCCATGCCGCACGCTATCGGAAGGGAAACGAAAGGAAAACGATAGGAAAACGCATCTATTATTTGCCGTGCTCTGCTCGACACACCTTTCTTTTACTTACAATTAGGCGTCTTGTGCATGCGTCGTGGATCATTGCGCACGCAAAATTCGCGTCGTTCATTCTGCACCGCTCGACGAATTAATTCCAACGTTTCTCATTCATCCCCCTTTTTCTCCGACTACTTCTTATCTCTTTCCAGTCACCGAACTGTGTGCGTGTAGAACACGTTCGACATTACGAACAATTCGTTCAGACAATTCTATATTTGCTCTTTTCTCCACTACACACGTCCACTCTTCTGTTTCTCTTTCTCTGCATCGATATATAGACACGTATACTTTCGATGTTTCTCGTACGTTCTCGTCGCGCGTTCAACAGGAGCGTCGAGTTTCACCAGGCAACTGTCTGAAATTGCAGTCACACCGCCAGCCCAGAGGGTGCAGTTCATCCTTGGCGAGGAAGTCGGCGACGATGCACACGAGTCACATCCCCTCTTCTCCGAAATGGAGGAGCTCGTCAAGGATGGCGACGAGATGGAATGGAAGGAAACCGCCAGGTAATCCAGCCCCGGGGCATCTTACCTACTATTTTATCGCCCAACGACCGCGAGCCTCGTTTTCTCTTGGTACCCTCCAGATGGATCAAATTCGAGGAGGACGTCGAGGAGGGTGGAAACAGATGGAGCAAACCTCACGTAGCGACCCTCTCTTTGCACTCCCTATTCGAGCTCAGAAGCCTGCTGTTAAACGGCACCGTGATGTTGGACATGGAGGCGTCCAGCCTGGAACAAATCGCCGATTTGGTTCTCGATAACATGATCAACAAAGACTCGTTGCCGATCGAAGCGAGGGAGAAGGTACAGATCGAATGAAAAAAGGAACCCTCTTTGATATACTAACGAGAAAGCTCTTATCTTGGGACGCGTAGGTGAGGGAGGCACTTCTGGTCAGGCATCGGCATCAACACGAAAGACGCAAAGATAACAATATGTCCAGACTACCTATTATCAGATCGTTGGCCGAGATAGGCCGAAATCATTCTTCTTCCAAGAGTAAGTTCACAAACGCTCGTCGTCCCAGATCGAACAAAACTTCAATCAGATACTACAGTAATTGAGTTCTGTGTCTTTTTCGTTTTTTTTTTCTTTCTTTCTTTCACGTATTATCGAACAAACACACGTTTTTACGTTTATCTATTTTGGTTACTCGCTTGATAAGGCAAAGTTGAACGTGAATCAAGGGTACACACTGGATTGGTGGTAAAAAAGAACTTAGGGCCCACAAGTTTCCGGCAATACACCGATACACCCGTTCCAGAGTTAGTAGCACTCACACATTAAACGCGTGAAAAACGCTCGACATTTTCAGATTACTGGTGTACATGTGGTTTGCATGCGTTGTTGACGTCAGATTTACAGGAGCGTCGCGATGCAAGGGGCGCCTACGCGTCCTCCGTCGCTCGCAGCAGCAGCTGCCCGAATTCGAACACGGCTTTGCTGTCGAAAGAGGCGAAAGATCTGAAAGGACCGTACCTTCTGGTTCCAGGTATAACATAGGCCAGACTGCTTGTGCAGCGCCTCGATAGCCTAGGGTGACGGTGCTTTCGCAGCTTTCTAATCTCCTCCGTAATTCATTTTTAACCCCAACCGTGTCTCTCATTCTCCTCGTGTATATTAACAACCCTAATCATACGTACCCTCTGTCTAGACTTGATCCCCGGTATATCGCGCTAAACTTCGATCTCCCGTGGTATAGCAACACCGGCCTATAGATGCAAGTATACGTATTGACACTTGTTTCTTATTTCACGTGGTCGGATTCACAACATGGTTCGCGATGTGTCAGCTAAAAGGTTAGACCGTCAGGTGGTTACTGTTCCTAAGAAATTTCAAACGATAGCACAGATCCGTGTCTCTTTTCGTTCCTCTCGGTATTGTGTTTAAACTTTAAACGACTTCGTCATTTTTTCTCACTCTCTCTCTCTCTCTCTCTCTCTCTCTATTTCTCTCTCCCTTTATATTTTACCTCTTGTACATACGTTATTGAACGCCGGTCGTACAAGATACATTTCTCGCCCCTATATACTTGTTCTGTCGATTTCTCGGTGTTTTTTACAGTAGTTGAGCATTGCACGGAGCGAATCACACGTAAGATTTCACTCTTACTCGGACTTGGCCAAACCGTCCGACTAGTACCGACCGTTACTACTGCGACCGTACGCAGCATCGACACGAGAGAACACGAGTAGGAACACCTAAACACACTACCTAACTAAAAGGCATGTCCTTTGTTACTCTCTCTCTATCTCTCTCTCTCTGATTGTCCAACTTGATGCACGTCACTCGATGTACACTTTCACTATTCGATATCGTACCCTTGTACCTAACTAACTGTCACACTATTTTTAATCTAACGTTTCGTCTAATCTTTTCAGCGTTCCCCCAACGGTAAAATCGTTCCTTTTTTTCCCCCCTCGTCCGCGATCGTTCGAACGATAAAAACGATACCGAGCGATAAGGGTTGCAGCTTCGAGCAGACACGTTCGAAGCGCGACCATTCGCAACCATGTATCGCGCTATTAAACCAGAGTCCCCCCCTCCCTCTCGTTCTCTCCTCCCTTTGTAAATAAAGAACGATCCTGGTGTGTGTTTCATGCTCATTTTTAGTGGAGGAATCGAATTCCGCCCCGGCGATCGCCGGCGCAACAGGTCACGGCAGTGGAGCAGCGCTGAACGCCGGTAGCCGCTTCCTTGCCATACCCGGTAATCCCGGTAAACTGCTTTACTGTGCTTGCTTTTTCACTTTCTACTACTCTTCTTCTAACATGCCGCAGTAACAACCCTCTCGTCGCCGTAGATTTCCCGTAGTAACGTGCTCTCTCTCTCTCTCTCTCTCTCTCTCTTTACATAGATATATATATATACGTACATCTTGTATCTAGTACAATTAGTTCCGTTGACGAGAAGAAAGCTCGGAAGAAAAGCTCGGGGAGAAGCTTTTTTCGAATAAGGATCTTTTCCCCGTGCACGAAAATCACAACGACGAGAGTGTCGCGAGTTGCTCGAATCCCGAACCGAAAGAATCAACCCACCCTGCCACGATCGCTCAAAATAACACCAGTATCGGCAAACGATTATCGAGAGCAAGTGGAAACACGGAAAACAAAATCGGCTCTCTGTCCTCGAGTGCTGCAACTAGGTGTACGTGTGTGTGTGTGTGTGTGTGTGTGTGTACGAGCGTGTCTGTGTCCGTGTGGTCAATCTATCGGAAAAGTTTACCGCATTTGTTACCCTTCGAAAGGGTTGAGCAACGTGCTCTTGACATTTAATGGAAACTTCACCGGTATACGTGTGTGTGTGTGTGTTTCTCGTGTGTAACGTAACGATCGTCGCAAAAGTAGAAACTCGGCTTAAACGAGAACGTCGGTTTAATCTCGAGACTTATTCTGTAAATTTTGGATAAAAATGTCGAAACTTCGCATCGAACGTGAAACGGAAGAAAATAGGCAATTGTGAGTGTCGCGAATAAGAGGATCGGGTTATAAGACTTCCTCGCAATATCGCGGAATCCCCGCTGTATCGGATTCCTGCAACTCGGAAACGCTTTCGACACGCGAATGTGGGTCGTGGCTATCCAACGTTTCTAATGGTCTTGGATAGAAGCGGTAATTGAGAGGAAACGGGAAAATACCTAGTCTTCTCGATTACGATGCCCACGCGACCGTCTCGTTGCGATTCACCTTGGAAACGAGGCAGTAGGCGGTAAGCTAGATCTCTTTCAGGCCAAGAACCAGGAACAAACGGTATGGATCGAAGTCCGAGCAGTGTGTCAATTAGCAGAAATCACAGTTCGTCCGCGTTAGAGAACGGAGACGCGAATCACAGGGTTTGTGTGCCTTTATTTCACCTCCTGACGTTAGACCATGTCTTCGAACATCTTCTCACGACTCTTTCAACAGGGTAACACTCACTTCATGAGAAAGATACCAGCTGGAGCGGAAGCAAGCAACATCCTCGTAGGAGAAGTGGATTTTTTAGATAAGACCCTGTCAGCTTTCATTCGATTGAGCCAGGCAGGAATAATGGGCGACTTAACGGAAGTACCTGTGCCAACGAGATTTATATTCGTCCTGCTGGGACCTACGGTAAGATTTCTGTTCCACGTATCGAACGAATCCACCCCACGTTACGCACCAGCTCGATAGAATCCGATTGTTTGCTGAGTATCGACAGAAAAGAAATTCCCGGAGAACGGGTATATGCGGATTGACGGTAACGCGATGAAGAGCCAGGTTCTCATTTCGGGTAATTAATGTTTTAACGAAGCAATTGTCCAGGCTGATTGGCCGGTTATTCTCGGCCTTGGAGAGATACGCGAAGCAATTTCTACCCTGGGTATGAATGAAAGGTTCGTTATCGTTTGAGATCGTCTCGATTCTCCGCCTCTTTCCGTACCACCGTTTGTCGCATTTCTTCCGCCAATCTTTCCTCTCCACTTTTCGCTTATCGATCACCGGGGAGCACCGTGATTAGCAAATAGGGCATCCACTCGGTGAAACCTCTTCTCGATTCATTTTCAACTTCCTACTTTCGCAAAAGTACCCTCTCGTCTCGTCAGCTCTAATCGATCGATTCTCGCCCTCGTGTCTCGATCACGCAGGGCGGAATCTCAGGCTTCCACGAGATCGGCCGCGCCATGGCGACTCTCATGTCCGACGAGGTATTCCACGACGTGGCTTACAAAGCGAAGAACAGAAATCATCTGCTGGCCGGAATCGACGAGTTCCTGGACGCGGTCACGGTTCTACCTCCCGGGGAATGGGATCCCGCGATCAGAATAGAACCACCTGCCGCCATTCCTTCGCAGGTAAACTAGATAATGTTCGCAGGAAACGAACTGGCAATTTCCATTTTCGCTATCATTCGGATCGCTTGGTTTGTAACTCGGTTTACAGGACGTAAGAAAGCGGCCGAAGGAAGAGAAACCGAGGGAGGAGTTGGACGAAGAGGCGGACGAGCAGAAGTTGAGAGAAGAGTCCGGACTATCGAGGACGGGTAGACTTTTCGGTGGTTTGATGAACGACGTGAAGAGAAAAGCGCCGTTCTACTTCTCCGACTTCAAAGACGCGTTGGCTCTTCAATGTATAGCCTCGTTCATTTTCCTCTACTTCGCCTGTCTCTCCCCCATAATCACGTTCGGTGGCTTACTCGGCGAAGCCACGGGGAAACATATGGCCGCCATGGAGTCGCTGGTTTCCGGTTTCGTCTGCGGCATTGGGTACGGATTTTTCTCCGGGCAACCTCTCACCATTCTCGGCTCCACCGGTCCTGTTTTAGTCTTCGAAACTATAGTCTACGAATTTTGCAAGTGAGCACAAATCCTGTTGCACGGATTTAAAAAGTTCCTTTTGAACGTTCTAAAATTCGATCGTTCTGTCCGCAGAAAATCAGATTGGAACTACATGTCTTTCCGTTTTTGGATCGGCTCGTGGATAACCCTGATTCTGCTGATTCTCGTCGCGATCGACGCCAGTGCTCTGGTCTGCTACATCACACGGTTCACCGAGGAGAACTTCGCCACCCTGATCGCGTTCATCTTCATCTACAAGGTATTTTCTTTCCTTTCGTCTTCTTTCCCTCGAAAATAATCGCTTCTTGTCCCTCGCCGTTGCATCTGAATTACGCAACCGTGTCCTTCTACCGCGAGGCGAGTTAATTGGATGGGATGTAGCTGTGTGTGCTTCGCGAATCGCTCCATCAGCGAAAATTTCCCGACATTTGGGTCACGAATCGCGCGGGGTGTACGCGTCTAATCGAAAGCGTTCCGCTCGGGCTTCGAGACCCCGTACAGTTCCAAGGTTCGATCGACCTCGATCTTGACGAGAGAAAGTGAATATCACTCTTTCAGGCGATCGAAAACGTATTGTCCATCGGCAAGAAGTACCCTATTAATACCCACGCCAACGACCCGTTCGACTACGAGTGCTGGTGCAGGCCGCCGAATGGTAGCCTTCCTTCTAGCTACGACAACGTCAATTGGACGGCGTTGGATCAAAAAACATGCCAGGTTAATTGAACGTAGAAGCCGAAGCTCGTTAGCCGAAAATTACAAACTGCAATCGTTCCCTTGATCTCGACACTTCGTTAACTTTCTTTCAGAGTTACAATGGCACGGTGGTGGGCGACGGTTGCAGCCAGACCCACTACATACCCGATGTGTTCCTCATGTCAATTATACTATTCATGGGCACATTCTTGTTATCCGTCGAGCTGAAAGATTTCAAGAACGCTCTCTTCTTCCCGTCAAAGGTACGTTGCTCAAACTAATTCCAGAGATGTCTGATTTCTCCCGTCTACGATATACAGGTGAGACAAGTGGTCAGCGATTTCGCGGTGATCATCGCGATCTTCTCGATGAGCACGCTCGACCATTTCGTGAACATTCCAACGCCGAAGCTCGAAGTGCCGGAGGAGTTTAAGCCAACCTTGGCTGATCGAGGATGGATCATCTGGCCTTTTCAAAGTAACCCATGGTGGAGCGCGATCGTCGCGTGTCTTCCAGCTCTCCTAGGCACTATACTGATCTTCATGGATCAGCAAATTACAGCCGTGATAGTGAACAGAAAGGAGAACAAATTAAAGGCGAGTGTCCCTCCTCTCTTCGTTTTTACAAGACGATTTCTTTGCTGGACGTGTCGTTTGCTTCCTCTTACAGAAAGGGTGCGGTTATCATTTGGATCTATTCATTCTCGCGATCCTCATAGAAATTTGCTCCGTGATGGGGTTACCCTGGTTCGTCGCGGCCACCGTGCTCTCGATCAATCACGTGAACTCGTTGAAGCTGGAATCGGAATGCGCCGCGCCCGGAGAGAAGCCACAGTTTCTTGGAGTACGCGAACAACGTGTCACACACATTCTCATCTTTCTCATGATCGGCTGTTCCGTGCTGCTCACGCCAATGTTGAGACACATACCGATGCCCGTACTATTCGGAGTTTTCCTCTACATGGGTGTCGCCTCGCTCAAAGGACTGCAGTTCTTCGACAGGATTCTGATCATGCTGATGCCAGTGAAATACCAACCCGATTACATGTTCCTTCGACAGGTGAGAAGAACAACGTCAAATTATTCCTCGACAATGATTCGACATATTTTCACGCTTCTTATTTTATTCAGGTACCGTTGAAACGCGTGCATCTGTTCACAACGATACAACTGACTTGCCTTGCCTGCTTGTGGATCATCAAATCCTTCAGCAGCACTTCCATTCTGTTCCCTCTGATGGTAAATCGCGTTACTCTAAGCGTCTCGTTAATTGCAAGAACATTTTACTCAGACAATTCACGTTGCTCGTAGCTGGTGGTGATGATCGGGATACGGAAATCGTTGGACCTACTGTTCACTCAACGGGAGCTCAAGATTCTGGACGACGTAATGCCGGAACCGAGCAAGAAACACGCGGACGATCTTCGACAGCTGGAGAGCGGCGAGGTTAGCACCATGAGACGAATACTAAATATCATCACTTGTCGTAAATAGCACGCGAGAGGTGACCGCGTGGCGAACATTCGCCCCGTGGTCACGGTAACTGTCTGCGACTACGACGAGCCTGCCTTGAAACGGGACGAACAACGCGTAAACACGTCCTAAAGCATCTCCATTCTTCCTTCACACTCCTCGTCGTCTTATCTTATGTTTAATGCTCCTCTCCGACCAAGCAATAATAATTTTAGCATTAAACGTGCCAGAGTGACGAGGAGAATGGCCTAAAATATATACGAAATTAAAGATGTACGCTCGGTGGTTCCTCGACCAAAATTTGCTACAACGAACCTTCCATTCGTATATACCACCAGCAACTAACAGCGAGTGCCAAATAAATTTCGCGTAAGAAGTAACGCTCGGTCCGACCAGTATTAATTACAATGTAACAATTATACACTTGTTATTCGAGATGGCAGTAGCGTTTTGGATACGTTTCTTTTGATAGGTGTTGAATTTGTTGTTGTAGTCGAGTTAGGTAAGAAAGAAGGAAAAAAGCATATTTATCGAAGATATTTATACCGTTGAGAAAAATCGTAAAATGTTCGTTATGACGTCGCCACAATTTTTCACGGCCTAAACAAAGTTTCGTTAATAAAACGTGGACGAATCTATCGTTTTCTTCTTTTTATTTTGTTCAACGTACCAAACGTCGTTTTATCATTTGATCGCAACACGTGCAGAAACTATAAGGAACCGCAAATGTTTCGTCTACCGTTCAATACACATGTATACCGGTTCGATGTATCGACGAACACGGATTGCCTACCTTGCTTGACATGTAAAAATACATTATTATTTAAGAACACACACAAATCTCTCTATAATCCCAGCTCTGTCCTTACGCACCACTCACCGCGACACGATCGATACACTGATACACGTGCCAATGTATACAAACACACAGACAGACACACTCTTATCCGCATGCTATGCTCCGAAGTCCCTGACACGAAGCGACACGTGTGGAACAACAGGCTACACGCGGCAAAGGCAAATCAGACGGATCTTCGGTACCGTAACTTCCAAATTTTCCCTTACACACGTACCATCGCAAAAGATTGTTATTAGGTAAGAAAACAAGATGCGAAACAGCATAACTCGAACATTGAGGCAGTTTGCATACGGAGAATGAGAAATGAAAAGAAATGCAAAGCAAAGCAATGGGGAAAAAAGAAAGGTAAAGAGATAAAAAGTTGGCAGAAAAGTTGGACGATGAGGAAACGAAAGAATCCCAAAGAGACACGTAAAGGTAGCGGTGGTCGTCGAATCCTGCGGCTCTCTGATCGGTACGTGGGCCACAAGTGCACGTCCATAATTCCTCAGCATCGAGAATAATTTTTAACATTTTCTATCTATGTACATCCCTGGCTAAAAGATCACACCGTTATATTGCGCTGAACTTGAGAATTGTCGTGCACTGCGATGAAAATTGATCGCGATCGCGACAACGATGGCATGGATTCCGAGACCGTGGTTCCAGTGATCCGCTTAGACCTGTTATTATAATTCCGGTATCACGGAGGAAAATAGAGTAATCGAGCTAATTCTACTTTTTCACGCGATACCTGCTCGTACTTCAGCCGAATGCGCTATTCTACTCTGTTTGTCTCCTTTTTTCTGTACGTCTACCAGCTCGATCGATACCAACCGATTTAACGCTTTCCCTTTTTTACACTCCCCCCACCGATCCTGTCGTCGTCGTTTTTTCTCCGAAAGTCTGTGACATGATGAATACGGTAGTGGCGTGAGTTTTGCCGAGTTCGATGCATGGCTTGACTTGTACACTTTTTCCCCAAAGTTAACGATCAGGCAGCCGAAGCGCGTTGAAACTGAACGTTCCCGGTTTCTTCCCCCAGGAGCAGAACGAATCCATGGATTACGGTCCATCGGGAAACATACAAATCTCGCTGGCGAACGGCAATATCATGAAGATCCCGATGGCGAGCATCAATATCAGCGAGGAAGTGAATAAAACAGGGATCTGGCAGCAGGTGAACGAGGGCAACGAGAAAATGAAACAATCGAAATTCCTCAAGTACGTAGAAGTAGTTCGCGATTGAAATTTTTCGGAATAACGAGATAGAGGGAACGTTAACCAATTACTCCGTTAACCAATTTAGCGCTGGAAAGCAAAAGAAGCACTCGAAGAAAGAAAACTCTTTGATGGCCGATGAGACCACTAGACTGACTACGATGACCGAAGAGGACGAGGATGACAGTGGGATCTCTATCAAGGTGACAAACGTAAATGACTCTAAATTCTAACCACCATCACCAAACCGATTAATTACATGGCAAGTCACACAGCAAGAGCACCAATACACCGGCATGCAACATACCCCCTATACTCTACTGTGAGTAAGAGTAAAAAAGGGGGCTGCACGGAACCCTTGAGCAGAGTCGTCTTGTCCCAATGATAGATTTTTGTCTCTTTAACAACACCGACGACTCTGTGCTAGAAAAAGAAAAACAGAACGTTAATCTTCGATCGTACGATCCCTATTGTCATATTTACAAGCACGAAACACGTTATACTCCCGCTACAATCGTATATTTCGGCAGCATGCAGTGTTCGCCTATGAATATTCCACACGTAGTACGAATAGAGAAACAGTAGACAGATATTTAACATGCAACTCGATCTCTATTGAGATTATCCAACAGATTGTATCGTCAAATTAACACTCGCATGAATCGATCTCCTTATTGTTTTGCACCTTCGTAGTTCCATCTATTCGTGCATGTGTTTTCGATCGTAAACCTCTCGTACCTACGATACTATCAATCGTAACGATTAAATAATCACCGTGCGACACGTAGTTTCAAGAGGCTGTTAGCGATGACGTTTAAATTCAGTGTACTCAAGGCTCCGTTACGAAACTTTTCTCAAACATCTTCGCGTGTAGCTGTGTATAGATTTGCGCTTCTTTGAAACGATCGGCTTATCGTTGGTGCGTTCGCGCGAAATTATGCGGAATGTTTGATTTCATCGTTTCAGGTAGACTTGATACGATCGAAGGAAAGCATCAGCCAGTTAACGATTAATGGCACTACCTCGGCCGAGACCTCTGTCTAACGAGAGAGAAAAAGAGAGAGAGCGAGAGAGAGAGCGAGAGAAAGAGAGAGAGAGAGAGAGAGAGAGAAGGAACGTTTGTAATTTCGTCAGATCGATAAATCGGCACGAGATTTACAATTTCGTCCAGATCGTCGAGTGATAGATCTCGATGACCGGTGGTGAAGACAGAACATTGTTGCAAGGACAATAATGCGAGCAACAACGTGTACAAAGAGCGTATTACCATGATTATTGTACGAAACTAGGAAACACCGATACGCGAAGAACGAGAACGTTGTTTTTTTTTTTTTTTTTTCAGTTCTGTATCCTTGCTCGAGTGCAATTAACGAGTGCCATCTACGGATAAAGTATACCTAGACGAAGCTGACAGGAACATGGTTTATTTGTAATGAGAATTGAAGAAACGCGCACACCATTGAAATTTCGAAGTAGGACGTTCTAGATTTTAAGACTCGATTCGGACAGGTCGACGCGTGAACATTGTCATCGTTGGATCTCGAATCAAACTTTCGTGTCAGTGTGCAATAACGTATACTCTTAATCTAGCGATTAAATAGTTTGTGTCCATAGCGAATTACGCCAAAGAAAACCCCTTTGATATATATACAATATATGTATATCGACGTTTCCTTCGAGGGATGTCCCGCGTTGAGGAACACGGCCGATACGCGTCGTCGAAAGGGTTACAATGTCGTCGGTACTAGAGAGAGCATCGGTGAGAACGTTCACTATTTTCCGAACAAACGCTCACACGCGAGCAACACCGGCTCGATTCGTTTCGTTAACGTATTAAAAGTCGTCAAAACACCGGCCAACACCGACAATATAGTATTATTAATTATACACGGTATAAATGTACAGCATCGTTTTTTACGCTGACAACGGTGAAATTCTCTTGTACGATGGATAAATACAGATCGAGACACAGAACGGTAGGATGTGATGATTAAACGTAATTTGCCACTTAGAGGGGAATTTTGCACATTTTTTATTGAAAAATTTTAGCACGACTGAGAAGAGAATAGCCACGCGTAAACGCCGTCCCTTGAAGGATGTCCTTTTTGTCTCGAGAAAGGGAATATAAGTGAAACGATCGAAACGAGATTTTTACGGTACTGCAGTCTTTCAGGTAGCGAGTGCAACGATCCTCATTCTTACGAGAATTTTATGCGGAACATTGCGCGGATCGTTGCACCGATAAATTGTTATTCTTTTTTTCTTCTCCGCCGATTCTACACCGACAAACGCGCAGACTGACGGCGAGGCATCGGTGAGAGAAGATTAGAAGAAAATATTTGATACGATATTTTTCAAACGAGACACGTTATCATGTTATTATCCGTTGAAAATGAGCCTTCGTGGCTTTCGATATCCGTTCGAAATCTATGCGAAAAGATTTGCCGGTACACCGACGAAACAAACGATCGTGCGTCTTCGTTTTTTCGCAAGGAAGGTGTCGTACGTAATGCGGTAGAATAATAACGAAGAGGGACAATGTGCCCGCTGTATTCTATACCTAAGAAAGAAAATCATTCGCAATTCTATACACGCTCGCAATGGGAAAGAAGTTATCGGCTGGAACAGCATGCGAGCTTTCGCAAAATCTCATCCCGCCCCCAACCCCGCCACATTCCATTACCACGTCGAGTAAAACTTTGCTTGGATCGCTGCATAGTATTAAAATGATAAGCTTGCTATGCGTTTCACCACCGACCACCCTCTTGTACATCTTCACACCTCTACACCAACAGGCTACGATTGCCGCTAATAGCATTTTAACAGTGGTTGTGATTAGCTAGAGAGAAACGAACATTATCTTCACTCTTATTCGTCGAAGGATTTGCCGATTCGTGTTCGTGCGCCTCGTTTCACCACACGGAAGCTCCGATTTCTTTTCTCTGAATCACTGGGACGCGAGAGTAAACGATATCCTGTTTCGAACAATCGTAGACAATCGACGAGAAAGAAAATAACGAGTGCACGGTATTCCGATAGAGAATATAACGTATATATTTTAAATTTGCATATTTTTTGAAAATCGCCGACACATTTGCTGCGACTCTTTACAAACATTCACGCGAGTGTCTATTGTACCTTTTTAATAGCGGACTATTGTACCATTTCCACCGGAATACCGTCGCAGATCCTTTTTTTCTTTTTTCCTAAGGTGTCAATCGCAGAGAAAAATTCGCACTTTAGACAATTACTTCCGTGGTACACAACGGAACGAGTACACACACGAACGAACCAGAAGACTCATTGCGAGCAACAAAGTATATAATCAGTCGCAAATCATATAATTCGCTGCCATGCATGCAATCGATGTATTAGTCCTCTTTAACGGAATTGCTGATAAATTCTGATTAAAAGAAAAAAAAAACAAAAGAAGAAGAAAAAATGAAAGAAAAAAAAATGTGTTTGCAATATTGATTATCGATAGAACGAATTTCTACCGATTTATGTACCTCCTCTTTCGCACGTTACTCTTACGGCTTCGGGATACTTCCGGAAAGAATTCAAGAACAAGCTCCTATCCGCTTCCACGAAAATTTCCTATTCGTCCTTTTTCTCTTGTTGCACGTTCAATTTATACGATAATTCGATTATCTTGTATTTCTTTAATTACTGTTTCGTACAGTTACACTGAAGATCTTCCGGATTCGAAGATCCAATTTCGAACTGAATAAGAACAACCATATACATCGTCACCGTGCTGAGCATCTGACAAACAAGTAACGAATATTAAAAACAGCGGCTATTTTATTTTACATCCGGCGATCTCTTTTGGCTCACCGATTGAAAAGACGCATTGTCTAACTCTAAATATCCGTTAGCTGTAAATCTGATCTTTCGATGTAGCAACTGAAGGGAGAATCGTTCGAGCTAGAACGAAGGGAACGTTGAGCAACGAAAAATCTTTAAGATAGTCGCATCTTTCCAGTTCTATACCTCTGTTTTCATTCCTCGATCGATCGTACAGTTTAACAAAGTATGCACAACACCTCCGGTCCTTTCGATCTGCAAAAAGACACAGTCAGTTCTCGATAAACAGCCACCTCCGGGGAAACGTTATTTCTTACCTCGTTCGTGACACTGGTGATCTTGTTGGTTAGTAAATTGAAAGGGTACAGGAGAGCTAAGAGCCAGAACACGGTATTTATCATAATCACGGGATCCAGGTACTCGCTGGTGCTGAGGAACGGTTCGACGAGGTAATAAGTGTTGTACAACAGTGTGACGAAAGTGAAGAAAGTTGCCATCAGAATAGGAGGAGCGTAAAACTGTGAAACCTTGCCGGAAACGTCGCAGAGATGCTCGTGAAGGTTTCGAACTTGAACGAGAAGCTGTACCGTTAAGGGGCTGATACAAATGCGACGAGTATGTTGCAAGATATTAGGGCGAACGCCGTCGTAGCCGGATTTGTGAATGTCTTGTATGGTGGAATTTATCTTGGAAAATACAGCGTCGATGCAGGTGAGCACCGAGAAATATTGTATGTAAAGCATGCTTACGAAAATTGTGGGTAGTATGTTCGCTAACCATACAATGGGAGCATTGTGAAAAGCGGCTTCATCGGTAACCCAAAGGCAGACGATTAAGCTGAAATTAAGTAAGTAGACAACGAAGAAAAGACGGAAAACCCTTTTCTCGTCGATCGGTTTCTGCAGTCGCCGTAACGAATCCTTCGCCTCGATCAAATAATTCCCGATTCTGACGAGAGCCGATTGATTCATACAGTAGTACAATAATGTCAAGAAAATCAAAAGGCTGCCTATCACACCCTGAAATATTTCCATCAACGTTGTTATGCTGGTCTTATTGGTATAGTCTGCACTGTACAGAGCTGGTACAGTGACGTAATTCGTCGCAAGTATCAAGCAGCTGAGCAACATATTATAAACTATCTCGATTTTAGTGCCGGTGAAGTGTAACGCATTTTCCCGCCACTTTCCCTTCGAGTTTCCTTGATTACTACTCACGGTCACTGTTGCCAGACCGATGAATTTGAATACAAACAAAAGCAACAAAGTCACTCGATACATATTTCGAGAGCTCTGCAAACTACGTGCCATCGTTTCACCTGCACGAAGTAACGAACGCGTGTCATCGACGATATCCACGTTGCAATGAAAAAAAACAGCAAGATCGTCGGTAAAAAAATATACTTTGTACTGTTTGTCTTTGATTACGGTTTACTTGCACGTTTGAAAAATGTTGCCGCAACTTCTCTGTTTTTTTTTTTTTTTTCTATCGATATAAAAACGTGAATGCAACAATCCGACGTGTGCCGTGAATTTTATAGTAGCGCAGCTATGAAAAACAACATTAGATATTAAATCACATTTGCCGTAGATGAAATTACCGTGCATGCGATAAAAGTGACGATGCACATATTGCTCGCACTGCGTCAACGATCAATGTTAATTGAATGAATTCTCTTTACTCGCGAGGAATAATAGTAAACGTTACTGCGAGAGAAATAATGTGGATAAATTTGTAAAAGCCCTAAGAAGAGCCAGCAAACTTTGCAGTAAGTTTTTTTTATTTAAAATATTTATGTTTTGTTTTCACATTTAAGAGAAACATTTGTCTCTTCGATAACCATGCTAATAGTTACTTAACATGCAACGTACCCGTTCAATTCATCTTTAAAAGGGTACGCGATAAATCTTATCTTAATTATTAAGATTAGAGAAAGAAAACAATAAAAGTATTAATCAACTAAAAATATATGGGAGAACTCTGAACAGAAAGTATTTACTTGTTTCTCTCGTTTTCAACGCACTTCAAAGGCATTTCTTTGAATTCGCGTGAAAAAAAAAAAATAAATATATCGTTTTTTACGTAAAACAGAACAATAAACAAGTGTAAAAATGGTCCTCCTATCGCTTGTCGAAAAAGAATACATCAATTTGTTTTTATTAACAATATCACTTTTACAACGCCTTTTTCTTTGACAAATGTTTACAAAAGTACATTTAGGTTTGCTAGTATTAGATACTGTGCTGAACTTAAACATAACTGCCTTAGAAGAAACAATCAATTAAAAAGGTTAAGTGATTATTGTGCTTTTAATTACGAAAGGTACTAAATATAAATACGCGTGTGTTTTATTTGTAATTTTATCCCCCGTATAAAAGTGTCATTTATAATTTACATTTCGGTAATAATTTTCCAACGAATAAGCTACGCCAAGTCAACCAACTTTTGACCGTAAAAATTTTTTTTACATAGAACGTATCAGCGATTCGAATATTTACCAACTTTAAATTACTTACACTTTACTATGAAGTCTTTTATAATACTCTTCAGCTGGAATTTAATAAAAATTATTATATTTCTAATTTGTACAGTCCAGTAATAGTAGCAGTTTCGCGAACACGCTTTATCTCTTAGAAAACTTAGAAAGCTGATAATCAACAACATTCATTTATTAAGACGAATAAATGATAAATCGCATTTCCTTATGTCTTCGATCGCTCCGATTATGCCTTTAAAGTGCTATGAAAACACAATTAAAAGAAGGAAACGTCAATTCCAATATATACGTTATTGAAATTCCAGTTCGAAATAACATACTGAAAAAAAACATACTGTGCCTCCACGACATATTCTCTGACTTTTGCATAGAAGATTATTGCAATTTTCATTTCTCGCTTCTGTTTTTTTTTTCTTTTTTTTTTTTCTTTTTTTTATATATATATACACATTGGTATCTGTTGCTACTTAAGTAGGCAAGTTTACGCGTGGCGTTAAACAACGAAGACACCTATATAGCCTTCGCAAATATATCTTTCCTTTTTTTTTTCTTTTTTTTTTTGGTATTGCCCAACGACACCGAAGGAATTGTAATTATAAAAAGAAGAACGTGTTGTCGAACAGAGTAAATAATTATGATGTCTATTCTAAACCTTAGGTGTTCTATAATTAACCAATTTTTCATAACATTCTTAACAGAGTAAAGATTGTTCATTCATATAGTGGGCTTTCTAGTTACAAATATTGCAAGTAAGATGTGTTATAATGACGAGGAAATTTACTAGAAGACCCATTAAGTAAAATATAATGATAGAATTTAACCAAAGGTGATTTATCCAAGTGTATGAAAGTGAATTCTTTTTTTCAGCATTAAGACACTCGTGTCATGTAGCGTACTGCTTCAGTACAAAAGAAAATAAGTATGATTTCCACATTATCTGATACAAAAGATCACTATGTTACTTGGCCTCTGACTCGTTTGGAGTCTCGCTCCTTGTAGGCACTTCTTCTGATTTAGCTTCAACAGGTGTATCTGTATCTGGTTGACTACCGCTCTCATCCGCAGGTGAGTCCTCTGATATGGCTGCATCTACAAGATTCGTTCCTACAATAGGTAGCAAAACTGAACACGTGTAGCAAATTTTAACTTAAATAGTATTTTATTCGTTGCTTCTCTATAGAAAACAAAATACGTAGTATTATGAACAATGTTCTGGCTTTCCAAGAAAATTAAAACGATCGTGTTGTAATCATTATTTCGGTTGATACAAATTTCGTCAGGTGACTGCAAAATTAATCGGTATTCATCGGATGGACGTTCCTGGTGTTGGAAAAGAAAAAATGAACCTCTTTTACCGCCTCGTGTGAAACAAACAATTACATTTGGCGGTGGTTCGCTTATGATATGGGGGTGCGTTACACCATCCGGTGTAGGTCCATTAGATCGAATCGATGATATAATGGACCAGTACATCTACAAATACATTCTACAAAAATACTTGTGGGAAACAATTGAGAGTAAATAATTGACTCTGCGTTCAACCATTTAAAACATTAGAATGGTCTGCTCAAAGCTCCAACGGTCATTGATTGATTTATGGCAAAGGGTGCAGGAACAGTGGTATTCCATTCCATCAGAATACTGCAAAATTGTAGTATTAAGTATGCAGACACGTGTCCGAGCTGTTACTAAAGCTAAAGGTTTATAGACTAAATATTAAGTCTGGAAAAAAACAGAAATATTTATTGAAAATCGGACGTGGTGCAAAACTGATTCTACGAAAAAAATTTGTACCAGCCAAATTAATGATTGTAACACGATCGTTTTATTTTTCTTAACAAGCTACAACATTGTACGTAACATTATGTATTTTGTTTTTGTTTTCCTCTTGTATTCTATATACAAACATTGAATAAATATTATTTAAATTAAAATTTCATGTGTGTTCAGTTTTGCTCCTTACTGTACATTCGTGGAAAGGCAAGTCCTCTTTCACAAGACAACGGTATTCTACGTGCTTTGTTTAACACGCTGATTATCCCGCTATTGTAAACGTTTCTGTTGCACAATTTTTACATTTGTATAAAACTTTCAATTCACTCAACAATGGAAATCAACGTGACAACCAGCGTGTTACAGATTAAGTACGAATGACATATTTACCTGGACAAGCAGGGTCAGACATTAGAGAAAATACTTTCTCTTCGGGCATATCCTTCGTTAACTCTTTGAAATGAACCACTTGGTCCGAAAATGATTGCCAAAACGATTGACCTTCAGGTATGGTAAACATAGCCTACGTGTTGTTCATTGAACAAAAACATATAATATGCTTTATACGTGTACAAATCATAACATTTACATCTCGTTAAACATAATTACCTTAAACTTGTTGTATATGTGCTCAGCCTTTTGCCTAATTTGTTCTGCTTTTTGTTTGAAAACTGCCTGTACAATAAAATTCAAAAACAAAAATATAAGAAAACATGACTGTTACAAACAACGTTATATTTTGTAGCTTTAAGAAAATAAGCAATACCTCATCTTCTTCGTTTAATTTCCAATCGGCCAAGTTACCGATATATCGTCGCAACTGAAAATGATCGAAAGCTCGATTAAAATACATGCCAAAATCAATCTCTTACAGGTAATAATTAACACAATTCGCATTCGTTTACCCTCTTAACAGTTTCTACAATGTGCGGATGCTTTTTCAACATCAGAGGGTCAATTGGAAGTGATAGCATATCATCCATTGCTTGCAAACACTTATCAGGATTTGCTCGATCTAATCCGAGGTTGGATTTAATTTGAGCATCCAATTGTAAAAGTTGTGCTTCTATACGAAGCCATCTGAAATTAATATTTAAAGTTGAAATCTTATAATATTGTTTAGTTCAGTGTTACTTTTACTACCTTAGTTTATTTGTTTTGCGATGAAGTGCTCCGTCTGTTGCTAACAGTCGTTTTTCCTCATCTGGGACATGTACATTTAAATCCAAACAATCTTTCACTTGTTCCGGTAAAATTTCGCCACTTTCTAATTGTGCTTTTAACTTCATGGCATTTCTGGCCGTAGACCATTCCCACTGCGATCGAGCCCTTTCACTTTCAAAGGATTTTGGCTTGTCCATATCTAACTTAATTCCTACGTATTCACCGGCAAACGTTAACGCTAATAAAAATCTTCCTGGTGTGTCTGAAGATGTGGTACTAGACACTACAGTACCTTCCAATGTAGGTGTTTCACCTAAATTATTTTTTTCTGTGAAGTACATCACACTTAAATCTTAATAATTTTATTTTAAGTAAACAATTCGCCCCTAGATACTCACTTTCCAAAACACCTCGTTTTTTATGCATTGCACCAGGTGTTGCTTGGTCACTAGTATCTTCAATTTTAACTTTAGGGCGACCTCTTCCATGATCTAAGATAAGTAAAATATTTGCCGACAACAATTCGCACAGAATACTGTATTTCAACAATAGTATTTATATGTACCAGCTTTATCCGTTGTAATATCTGTCTCTTCTGAGCTTGAAAAGTCAGCAAACCGCTTAGGTTTAATTTTCCTACCGCTACGACTCACAACTTCTTTTGGTGATTCCTCTCCTTGAGAATCCAAGCCAGGTTCTTGTTTTATTGAAATACTTGTGGATGCAGATAAAGATTTTGCTTTTCCACGTCTCTTCTTTATTTCTGGTGCATCCTAATTTTTCAAAATTTTTCAATATAATAAAACGTGATGGAATGAATTTTCTGTTCAATACTCTTATGCATTTGTAAGGAATAATCGCACAAACTATTCAAGCTCGATAAATGTTTGTCGGCAATTCCTAAATTTCTATTGGAGTGTTTAGTTCAACAGTTGTTTTCTTAAACAATATTGGAGTGATGAACAGAAACTCCTAATGAAATCTTATATATAGGTATAAATAAGCCTATATGCATTTAAATATAAATGTATTACAGGATTAGTAGCAGAAAGAGTTCTCCTTTTCATAGACTTCTTTTTCTCTTCTTCATCAACTACAAGAGATCCTGGTTCCATGTCACTGTCTGCAGCACTAGCTGTTGGCAAATTAGTGTCACCTTCTGTTGACGCTTCATCACCAATGCCAGCTTCTTAGTTCATATATGAAACATAGTTACGTAAATAAGTAAATAGAAACATTATCAGATTTTATACTAAACAAATGCACAATGTATTTACCTTTGAGGTCTGCAAGATTTGATGCTTTATTTCTGTCATTTTTAAGTTCTTGCTCTAATTGTATTAAACCTTCATGAAAATACTTTCTTCTAATTGGCTTGCCAAATTTAGCTTTATTCTCTATGTATGTATATAGCTCTTCCACTTTACACACAGCACTAAGGCAAGATATTTAAAATTCTTAATGCCTTTTCAAATCTTATGTTCACAAGATTATTATAAATATATGACTCCTAAATTATTGTAAACATTATGTACTTTAACACATTATAAAAATTACTACTCACGTTTCTCCTGTGCCATAGAAGTAAACACTATACTTTGAATTTTTTGAATTGGGATCGATAACTTTTTCAACCTAAACAGACATTAACAATATTTATTTTACAACACCATTTCTTGCTGCAAGATTACATGTTATATTTATTTACCTGCATAGGTAAATTAAGATATCGTATAAGATAAGATGATATCATAATAATAACTGGCATTAATAGCATGTCTTTGGATTCAGTAATAAGTAAAGGATGAAAAAATAGAGAATAAAAATGTTCCAGAAACTTCTATTAGTACTTCAAATGTTCATTATTGCGAATTTTGTCAAAATTATACAAGATAATGATTAAATCTACGATTGAACTTACTTTTGCTGGCCATGGTGGATAACCTCGAACTTTTGCAAAAACCTTGTCACCCGCGAAAAATTTCTTATGAAGCTTAACCATATCGACGGTACGCTTTTAGAAATCCAAAAGTAAGCGACAAATGCTATCTGTGTATCTATTGCGCACGACGTGTAATTAGGCTGGCTAATATTTTAGAAACATCGAACAAAACATCACGAAAGCCACCATTTGCACGATATAATATCGAAAACACGCAGAATAAGACGCTGCGCGCCAATTCATGAGTCTTTAGTTACGAATATTCACGAATCTGGACTACGTAGATTGAAAACTCTCAAACTTAAAAGAATCGCTGATTGGTTGCTTCCGACAATATCGACAGATACATCGGTAAATTATTTTTCTTTCGAAACAATTTCTTGCATTACCTTTTCAAACTAATTAACATACGAAAGAAAGTAATTTGTTACACGTATAAAGCTGTATAAACCAATTGTTTGCATATCTTTAGCGACGTATCTTTTATTTAACGATTACCAAATGTCTCAATAAAAATTTATTTCTGACATTTTAAATCAACGAAAGAAATAGATAAATAAGGAAGTTTAATAAATTAATTCACATATATCTTTTGTGATACATAACGTGGCAATACAAATGTTTCATAGTAGAGTATATAACATATGTATTGCCTTCGTAATGATACAGATCTGACGTTTTATGTTGCCTTTGCGAACACGTGAATGAATTACAGTTTAGTAGGTACGGTTTGTCTGTCAAATATATTAATGTTGATACGATACTTATTGTAAAAGGAAAAATTTAATATTACATCACGGATATGTGCAATGTTTCTGTTGATATCATACATATTTTTCCGAAATTCTCAGCTAAAAAAGTCAAACAGTCTGTTTCGTAAAATGTAAGTACATTTCTTTTAGCTTGCTTGTAATGCATCCTGTGAAATTGTTTTCTTTTTCACTTTGTAATTCTTGATTTTTCTTTGCAGCATGTATTACGATTCTTTTTATACACATCTTCATGTGCAGCACTTACAGCTGTGTAAAAATTTCAATCTGTTTCAAATAATTGTACAGAAATATTTTCTAGCGATTACTTCCTTTTTCTACCGTAATTACCGCCGCTTTTATTTTTTACGTAAAAATCTGGTATATGAATAATTTTAATCTATAGCAGTTACTAATATTTGCACTACTAATGAAATTTCCTTTTTCCATAAAATAGAAATTTTCTGCATATCAATATTCCATACTGCCTCCATCTCTTACTACTTATTAATATTTATGCCAATTTTATATTTTTTAAATAAAGAAGAAACTTTTGAATAAATTCATTTGTTCTTTCCTATTAGAATATGATTATCATGTATACTTTAAAAACTTTTGATGTGTTTTATAATAAGTATATTTAAATTGTATATAATAAACAGATGAACATACTATGCACATGGCAACAATATATGATGGTATAATCAAAGATGCCAGTTCTTGAGGACCAACGCTTCCTTTGAAGTGTTTAAGTTCAAGAGGCCTGCTAAGGCACAATGAAAGCCATTGTATCAATTACATTGATCGTGCTACTTCATGGGATAAGTTCAATATCTATCAGTGCTAGTAGAATATGTGCCAGCAGAAAGAAAAGTATTGAAAATTTTCCCTTAAAACAAAATACACCCAATGTACCTGAAAATTTATCCCATAACAATAATGTAGCTCATATTACAGTAAGTTTTCAATATATTTATGTATCTATATTAATAAATTCATCATTGAAGAAATTACATTAAAATAATTACATTCTTTGTAGAAAGATGATAATATTAAATTTGAAATATGTACTAATTTCTGTCATGCATTATGGCAAGAAGACAAGACTGCAAATGGAACTGAAATTATCATTTTATCTCAAGGTATATATACCTTTTGCCATTTAATAAAATATAATATATATTCGTTATTCTTTTTTATACTTGATTATTTAGGTTGTTGGAAACAGTCTGGTGAACAAAAATGTGAAACATCAGAATGCATTGCCCTTCCACGTTCTACAAAAGCATTGAATAACACAAAATTTTGTTGTTGCAATGGAGATCATTGTAATCTTAATATTAATAGTACTAACATTCTATACTCTGAGAACAACGTACATAGCTCCACACCTGCAGAAAATAATCAGCCAAGTAAATTTATATGGTGTAAAAAGTATTCTACGTTAATTTATTAGTCTTTTTATAATATCTTTTGTGAAATCTTGCAGCAACTGAATATTTGGAGCAGTCTGATTCTGGAAGATGGATACTTATCATAACAAGTGTACTATTGTGCATGTTACTGCTAGTATGTATTGTAGCTTTGGTGGTATACCGTGTGTACCACACTAATATGTTAGCAAGATTAGGAAAACCACTTCCCTATACGGATCAGTTCATGGATAGTACGGCACTAAGAAGTGGTACTTATACTGTAGATCATTTGAAACTTACAGCAGTTGTAGGTATGTTCCTTACTGATGAAATTATAAATATATGCTAGAGATACGTATTTTCAGCTGAGTAATACATCATATACTTTTAGGACAAGGTCGTTACGGATCGGTATGGCAAGGTAGTGTGGGAGATCAAGATGTTGCTGTAAAAATATTTCCTTCTCATTATCGTAATTATTTCCAAAATGAACGAGATACTTATTGTCTTCCCTTTATGGAACACCCATCTCTCCTAAGTTATTATGGTTACTATCTTTTTTTTTTTTAACAATACATTATTATTAATTGAAATACAATATTAAGAAATAGTTGTTATTCTTATTTAGGTGTAGATGAAAGGGTTAACATGGAAGGCAGTGTTGAATATCTTTTGGTACTTAGTTTTGCACCAGGTGGTACACTGACAGATTTTTTAAGAACACATACAATTGATTGGATTACATTTTGCAAAATGGGTCTTTCTATGGTCAAAGGACTTGCTTACTTACATACTGATGTACATAAAGGCGGTAAGCAAAACGAATGACAAAATATAGAATATATGAAGGAGAACACTCTTGAAGAAACTGATGGATCTTACAGATAAATTCAAACCGTGCATCGCGCACAGAGATATCAACTCTAGAAATATATTAATCAAAGCTGATGGTACGTGCTGTATATGCGATTTAGGATTGGCAGTTCAAATTTCTGGTTCTAAATATTATTCGAACGGAGAAGAACAACACGCTGAGATAAAATCAATCAACGATGTAAGACCGTAATTTAATGTGAAAAATATAGAATGTTTAAAATAATTTATAATTTCACCTCCAATAATTGAATTAGGTCGGTACCTTGAGATATATGGCGCCTGAAATATTGGAAGGTGCCGTGAATTTACGAGATTGCGAAAGCTCTTTAAAACAGATAGACGTTTATGCAATGGGTTTAGTAATATGGGAATTAGTTTCAAGATGCACAGATATTTATGTATTAGGATCAGAAGTACCACCTTATAGACAACCATATGAAAAAGAAATTGGTCTTCATCCAACATTCGAACAAATGCAAGGTTTAGTTTCTCGTAATAAAGCAAGACCTTTGCTAGAGGGTAATTTAGTAGATAGACCGGGAGTACGTTTGATTAGAGAAACAATGGAAGATTGTTGGGATGCAGATGCAGAAGCCCGGTTAACTGCTTTATGTATAGAAGAGCGCCTCTCAGAGTTGCAATCTCATCGTGGTAAATCTCATTGTATCATCAAGTGATATAAGAAAAAGTTATGATAGACAATAAAGAAAAAGAATAATTTATAAACTTTCAGTGACAATGCACTTCACCGATGGAAGTCCAATGGTCAATTCCCATTGCACTTTAGTGCCTTCAACTACAAACAGCCTTTATAGCGAGTCTTCGCATCACGACAATGTTCACGTCACTCAACTTGTATCGCATACGGTACAAGACAGTTCAAGTAATGAAGGTGGTATTGTGGAAAACTTGGTAACTTTGTCACCGTCTGAAAGCATCGTTCATGAACATAGTTGTAAGTGCTTTGTTAATATTCTGCAACAGATTTATGTATTTGTCGAATTTAATTTGTACATAATTTTTGATTACATTTTAGTTAAAAATTCAAATGAAGTAGCGATATATAATCATACTCAAGCGCTTCAACCTTATCAAGGACGGAATCCTTGTATGGAAAGAAATTTAATGTTACAATCGGACTCGTGTGAAGATTTAGGATGTAACGGTAATGTACTGGTTGATAAATCTATGAAACACGCGTGTAACGATCAATACAGAATCGTATCGGAAGCACAAGGACTTGTTTCCCATGATTATTTGAGTCAACATACAACACAGTTGACACAATTAAGACCAGCAACACCTATACCATACGTTCAAAATGTAATTTCGGACGATGGTACATCGTCGTATGGTAAACGAAAACAGACGAACGTGCATGAGATTTGTTCGCAAGAGAGTCCTAGGAAAAAGATTTTTGGATGGTCAAATTTTAAAAAGTTGCTTGTTAACAAAAAAATGTATCCATACAATAAATATCAAATAGATCGCGAGGATTCTAAATCTAATTTATTATCAAAACAGAACGTGCAGATCAAAACTGTTGAAACAAACGTAACGATATCTCCGGGAGGAAAATATGTGAACGGTATTATTACTAAAACACCTATTTTTACCTCTACACTAGATAAGAATGATAAGAATGCTATACAAATTAGTAAGCAGAAGTTTGATAATGATAACAATACTAACGTTCGACCATCCACCTTGCCCCTTGTAAATTTAAGAAATAAAAAGAGTGAGAATATCAGTAGACAAGAAAGTATCGACAAATTCAACGAAGTTTTTAACGTGGGATCTAACGTGAATCTATTAAAAGATCCGCATATGAGAATAAAAACGCCAGGTGATTTACCACCCTCCGTAAGAAAAATTCGTGGTCGTGGACATTCAACCGCTAGATTTTCTCTTTACGACGACCGAATGATGTGCAATATTTTAAGCGAGGAAGATGATCGAAGCGACAAAGCTGTCTGGAATTCAGTACCGTTTGGTATGGATCTCGGTGATAATGATGACAAACATTCGCCGACTAAATTTAATACCAAAAATGTTACTTGCTTTTAATCGATTATAATACTATTGTATTTGTAAAGGATTTTAGAAGTAAGCATAAACGTGGCTGTAGCATGACTTCAGCTTAAATATGTGTATGTACAGAA